TCATTATAGGTATATGAAGGCTTAGGTAAATTAGTTAATTTCCCATTTTCCACTTTTGGTGGATCACACTTGACCTCTGAAAAGAGAAAGCATCTTTTAAAGAAAACCAGTTCAGAACAGCCTATAAATAAAAACAACCAAGTTCTTGGCTAAAAGGGATATATAATCTGCAGTTGCTTTTATTTTTCTTTCTTCTATGAGTATCGGATATTAAACCCCTACAAGATCATATTCGGTTAATCTTTTATTCCGTTTGTGTTTTTGTAGCTGGTTTTCATACCATCAAATTTTGCAGTTGGTTTTCATACCATCAAATCCAATTTTTTTTACTACAGGTAGTCCTCACCTTATGACCACAATGGAGCCCAAATTTTCTGTTGATGTGTGAGACAGTTGTTAAGACAATTTTGCCCCATAATATGATTTTAAGTTGTTGCAGTTGTTAAATTATTACACAGTTGTTAAGTGAATCTGGCTTTCCCATCGACTTTGCTTGTCAGAAGGTCACAAAAAGGGATCACGTGACCCTGGGACACTGCAGCCATAATAAATATGTGTCAGTTGCCAAGGATACAAACTGGGACCACGTGATCATAGGAATGCTGCAACAGTCATAAGTGGGAAAAATGGTCATATGTCACTTTTTCAGCCCCATTGCAACTTCACTAAATCAACTGTGGTAAGTCAAGGACTACCTGTACTACCACTCTTACTGCATGTTTGGGGTTTTAAATGGTTGCTCATCTAACCTAGTAACTGTGTTGGATGATTGTTACTAGTTATAGATGCAGAAATTGGAAACCTCAATCATTTTGCAAGCAATGACCAGAAAGAGATGAACTCAATATAAAACATTGTTCATAATGAATCTGAATGTTATTATCTTCTAATAAGCAACATATTTATGTGCATAACATGTAGGGATTCTATAATATTTTATACTACGTGCTACTATAGTATTTGTCATGGCTGCCTTATGAATTCTACTCTCCATTTAGGCCACTTCCTGCAACTATGCATGTAGTCATTGACTTTCCAAACAGGGGGAATCAGTTTGATAAATTACTACTCTTCCATAGTAATAAGTGGAATTAGAATCAGGAATTCTATCAGGCCGAAGACAAGAGATATCTGAAAGACGGGATCATTTCTTTGAATTAACCTTTGAATTAGACCAGAATTAACAGTTAACAGTTTTGCTATATATTATAAATGACTACAATATTTCTCAAATTAGTTTTTTTTTTCTTTGTTATTTTTCAAATTCCCCTCTCATGCAGGGACGACAGAGCTTCAGAGTTTATGCCATGATTTTCTTCCTGCAAGAATTTTATTTACCATCAACAACAGCTAAAAAGGCAATTCAGCTGATTAAAGATGCTTCCATTTTTCCTTACTTTTACATTCAGGGGCAGGTAAATTCCACTTTCCATTTCGGCCATCTTCTGTAGTTATGCATGTGATGGTTGAATTTCCAATCAGGGAGAAATCACGGTTGCAGTGGTAGATTACAACTGAGTCTACATAATATTCATCTTTAGGGTCAGGATCAAATTGTCCATCAGGAATATTTTCAGGACGATTACAAGGGATATCTGAGGGAGAGACAATGATTTCTCGGAAGTCACCTTTTAACTAGAATAACAGTTACTCTTTGGCACTGGAAGAATATTCAGGCTGTTTCACTACAGGCAAGTAAATAAGCAGAGAAATGTTCTCCTTCCGCTAGCTGAGAGCAAAAAGCTTAGGTGGCATGTAGCAGAGGAGAAATCATATTACAGAACTATTTAAATCTTTATTATATTGTAAGTCATCTAGAGTCACTGTACTAATGAGATGGAATGCATAGAAATTAAATAATAAAGAAAGAAACCATTTGGACTCTACCCTGTTCATGGCTGAGGTTTTGTCACCTAGCCGTTGTTGCAGTCAAAGGCTATAGCTATACAATGGATTTTGCTAATATCCTTAGAACAGTTATTTTCAGTCTATTGATAGGATTGAGAGAGATTTATTTTGGAGATATTGGGGAATTACTGCAACACACTTTAGGCAACAGAAGGACTAATAATTATTGTGGAGAAGCATAAAAATGGTTTGGCAGTTTAATAGATTATTTAGTTGATGGAGATATCTTCCAATCTTAGTAAGAAAGCAGTAGCATTACTGCAAGAAATTTGGGATTTGGAATTATCAGGAATAGCAATGGATTGTTATATATGAAAATCTTCACAGAGATTTCAAATAAAGAACAGTAATACATGATTTAGTTAAACAAGAATGATCAATGTTCAAACCTCCTTCTCTGCAGTACAGGTAGTTCTTATTTAACAATTGGAATTGTCTGTCATTGCTGTTTTTAAGCAGAACACTGCATGACCTGACCCAGGTTTACAACTGTTTTTTTTTACAGCAATCATGAAGTAAATCACCAGAGTTAAGCAAATCATGTAGTTGTTAAATGAACACTTTGGTTGATAAGGGAATCCATCGTATCCAATATGCATGTTTGTTGTTTTCTGCTGGAAATCGAAAGTCATGAATCAAAGTCACTATGATGCTGGAGGTGGCAACTGGTCATAAGTGATGGCCCAATTTCAAAGTGCCTGAAATTTGATGAGGGGGTCTGTATGAACCATTTGTCAATTCAAGGACAGGGCATAACCACCTTTTTTGACTCTGTCATAATATAGTCATTAAGCGAGCATTGCCTGCACTGTTTACATTCAGGAATCCCCAGCTGCCTTAGACTTTCCCAACTTGTATGAAAGCCTAAACAGAACACTGCAACTTTTTTGGAAGCTGCACCAAAAATCACTGGCAGAAACTTTAAATGACTTTAAAGCTCTTACGTTCGCAAACTGGGAACTCTCTATTCCAATCAACCTTGCCATCTTTCAGAACACACTTAAGTGTAGCTTCACCAACAAGTCTAAACCTAAAGGCAAAGAGATACAATTCAGAATATACATTTCTAAATCTCATATTGTTATCTCTTAAGAATTATAAGAGCCAGATGCGTGATATTCGTATTTAATAAATGATCCAATAAATAAACAAAACAATGAGGGTAAAATTATTTAAAGAAAGGGAAGTAATAAAGAAGCTGGCGTCCCATGAAGCAGTTTTTAAGAAGCAGGTTGAAAAAGTCTCAGACAAGCAGAACAAAATGCTGTCAAGGTGAATGTTCCACAGTTGGGAGCAAAGGACTCATTTTATTTCTCACTAAATGATTTATGTTTATACATGCAAGTAGTGGGCAGATGTACTTTTCTTGATTCATGTAGAAAAACTGAGGAGGTAGACTGCTTATATATTTTTACATTTGAGAAGACCAATTTAGAACAAGGTTAATTTTATTTTAAACTGACTTTTGTGGCTATTCTTTCTAAGGCAACTGTTTTAACAGTAAACTACAGCTCACCCAGATACACAGGAGAAAGTTACATTGCCACCCAAACGGATGTCGTCGTCATCATCAGCATCTGTCTTGCCATTTGGTATATTTGGAGTGGGACATTTCCTCCCTAAAAGAATAATAAGCATGTATGTTAGTCTCTCAGTTCAATGTAGAAGTAATTCAGATCCAACCTATCACAGGTCTGGTAACAGGGGTCCCCACAAAGAATCATCAATCATGTGGGAATGCAGCACTTCTACCTCTGAGGTGTAATGCTAATCTAAACCCAGGCTGATTTGACAAGCTTCTCTCACTCTTGCACTAGAGAGATGCAGCCTCAGCAGGGCAACCAAGGCATCTGCTGAACTGCAGGCTTACATCAAAATGACAAAAGCATTTTGGCATTGTTAAAATGCAGTGTCACCCGTGTCATATCCTTCTGTGACATTATAATATCTCTGCCAAAGGGGTGGCATTGCCGCTGGAACTATGCAAAGTTGCTAGTTTATCTAAAGCTATATCTATATCAGCTATATTGAGCTTGATATATACAGTATAACTAATTTTAAAAGAAACATCTTTCAAAATATAATATCAACTTTGTGATATTGAGATTGATTTATTGGTAAGAATCAATAAATAAACAGAATTACAAAATTTATATAATTATTGCTCAGTGTAGCATTAATTTAAGATTGACCAGACCAAACAACATACATTGACAAATCATTGAGCTTAGGGCCATAATCTACAGTACCATATTGTTATTTGGAAATGCTATAAATAAATGAAAGAAGAAAAAGATCTATTAAAATAGAATATAAAAGTAAGTAATCTTGGAACTTCAGAAATAATTGTCTCTCCTGCCCTATTCTCAATCCTTCCTCTTTTTTGTCTCTTTCTGAGGAAACTATTAATCACAATTGCCGAGTAGATACCAGGAAAGCCCCATCATCTACTATGATTTGGAACTGTGGACATGCTTGTAAAACAGTTAGAAGCATGTTCCAAAATATAGCAGATCTGAGATATGCTTGCCACGTCTCATATCCAGGCTCTGCATCTAGGTATTAACAGCGACAATGTTTTCCAGCCAAATTGGAAAAGATCCTAGAGATTACCATTGCAGGAGTTCATTATGACGAATACCCCACTTGGATTTCCCACTGAACAGATCAGTTTCAAGAGCAAGAGGATGTTAAAGGACTAGAGTTACATGGGGAAAGTTGGTGTCCCCTCTTCCACACTCCTTTCCAAACACTAGAAAGTATGGAAAAGATGTGGAATTTAAATCTTATGGACTAGACCGGATTCCCTTTTGCTCCATCTGATATCCTTTTGTCTTAATCAGGGGGAGTCTGAGAGCACTATTTCTACATAATACATTTTTATTGAAAGGCATATACTTTTTTGAAGTCAACTCACTTCACCACATGCATTTTTGTTCCAAATTAGTGTTGCGAATGTTTGTTCTTTGTTTGGTTCCCCCCTCCCCAGGGGTGGGATTCAAATTTTTTAACAACCGGTTCTATGGGCGTGGCTTAGTTGGTGGGCATGGCTTGGTGGTCATGTGACTGGGTGGACGTGGCTTTGTGGTCATGTTATTGGCTGGGTGTGGCCAACTCAATATCACTCACATCGAGGCATACATCTCCTCGCCTGGCCTCTCATGACTGTGGGGATACTGCAACAGTTGTAATTGTGAAAAATGGTCATAAGTCACTTTTTTCAGTGGCATTATAACTTTGAATGGTCACTCCACACAAGCAAAGTACCAGCAAAAGAGGGAAAGAAAACTCCAGAGAAGTTCCAGAGACAGGAAGTCTAGTCCTGCCAAGAATGTAATAAGGGTTAATGGAGAGGCAGTTTCTGTAAGCAACACCAGAATGTTTCCTTCCTGCCTCCTTACAGGATTAGGCCAGTAATTTCTTCTAGCAACTGGTTCTCCGAACTGCTTAGAATGTTAACAACCGGTTCTAGAGAATAGGTGTGAACTGGTAGAATCCCACCCATGCCCCTTCCCCCAGATACGTATTAGAAAAGGAAGTGTTTGCAAATCACTCACTGAGTGACAACACTAGTTGAGGGCAGGTGTTCCATAAGGTGGGAGAAAGAGAATGATATTGGTCCTCCTTTGCTTTCCTCTGTTTTTTTTTTATTGGCATATGGAAACACCTTTCTGCAAACTGTCTTCCAAAATTGCTGGATATGTTTAAATTCCAATGCCTTCCAGATGTTCCTCATTTATGTTCTTAGTCAGGATTGTCGTCCTTAATCTATTTACTTTTAAACCCACCATTTCTCCAAGCATTTTGATCTCCCTTGTAACCCATTCAATGTTGTCTTGCATGTCTTACACAATCAATACCAAATCATCAGAAAATCCATATAATTTGCAATTTTGTACTTTGATTTATAGCCCTTTTGCTCTCTTGTCTAATATCTCTATTTAACAGTTCCAACAGTAGAATAAATAACAAAGGGGATAAAAGACACCCCTGTCTTGTTCCTTTCTGGAATTCACATGATGTAATCAAATCTCCGTTCACCATAATCTGAGCTTTCTGGAGTGTACAGAAGGACTTCAGACCCTGTATAAATCCCGAGCCATCTTTTCTACTACTTTAAACAGAAAGGCCCAGTTCAAGTTGTCAATCGCTTCTGTAGTCTGTCTAGTACAACGGCATGGGATTTTATGTAGGGAAATTTATCTGTAGTCTCAAGATTGTAAGAGATTGTCTTCCTCAAGACAGAAGTGTCAGTACTCAGATTGAACTCTGATTGCAGAGGATACATCCCTTAAAGATTAAACCCCTGTCCATAAAGCATAATTTTCTGAAAGAAAGGAATTTGTTATCCCTGTTTCTTCATTATTAATTCACCGTATAT